TCTTACCCTCAAAGGAAGATCAAGGAGTGTTTGAGAAGTAAGTATGGATAATACATATGGAAATTGAATATGAGTAGGATGTGTTTGGGACCCCTGATACTGTAGGAGAGAGCCAAGAGTGAAAAGAGCAGAGTAGTGAGCCATGGTTAGAAGGCTTCTTTTTGTTTCCTTGTTCTAATGCCACAAATTTTAGAATTAAGTTTACTTCTTAAATTCTCTTCATAAAGATTTTTCTTATAGTCAGAGATTTGGGGCCCTGTAATACATACAAGTTCTATAGTAATGCCTCAGCTCTGCTGTCATACCATAAAAGTAGTCACAGGCGATTCTTAGACGAACAGGTATGGCTGCATTCTAATAAAACTTTATCTAAAATACAAGGGGCAGGCTGCTTTAGGGACATCGGTAGGTCTTTGCTGGGACATTATCTGTTTCACGTCCCTGGCTCTTAGCACATTTCATTTCATATGCTCAGTCACCTGTTCCTTTCTTTCACTTTTTAAGAGAAGTTGGCTACATAGACGACTTTAATAGCTTAAAAAAGGAGAAACAAACTGTATAATGTACATGTACCCACTCTGTAAGATGAATGTAAAGATCATACACTGAAAGCATGTACTAATAAGAGAAAAAAAAGAAAGGAAAAAAATAAAGATCATAAAGTATCCACCCATAAATGGAATCAAAACTCTGGGATATCCCTGTGGTTTGACAAAGAGTCCTAAAACCGCATTTAGCCCAAAGCCACATTTCACATTTAAAGTAGACTTAGGAAGCTCTAAGGCTGGAGGTAGCATGGAATGTTCACTTGTAAATTCGCTAATGATATATAAATGTGTGTCATAGTTTAGTCTTAAAATACTCATGCTCCATCTTAATAACATTTTAGTTAATAATTAATACTGTATACAATCAATAACTGCTTATTATATGTATACTTTGGAAATACACAAGTAGGAGTTAGCCTTGCCTTTAAAAATCTGTATTTTTTTAAGTCAATTGTAAACGCCTTCTGGGGGGTGTATGCTTCTTTGTACCTCTGGTGCCTAATATCTGCTCACATATACTAGACATGCAATGAATAATGATTTTATTAGCACTCTCTTGGAGAGTTAGGTGAAAAAGAAACCTGGTTGAAATTCAGCTGATTCCCAAGTCCTTGCTAACTTTACTTCCTCGGCAGCTAAAATTTCCAAACTTTAGCAGAATGATTTACTCTTTGAAGTACTAAATTTAAAAAGTTTTGGTGAGGGCTATCAACCGCTAATTACCTCGTAACTCAAGGATGCTGCCACCAGCATCAGTAACAACGTGCACTGACATGTAGCAGTGATGAGGGAAGTGGTTTACATTGCAGTAGGACATGTGCTCCCACCTATCATGGTATAGAGCTACTCAAAGTATCTATGCATCATGCCCATCAACTGATGCTTTTCTTTCTCTTGGGATTGAACCCAAGGCCCTCACACTGAACTACATCCCCAGCCCTTCTTCTACTTTGCATTTTAAGATGGGATCTCATTAAGTTGCCCAAAACGAGTTTGAATTGGAAATCCTCTGTGTCAGCCTCCCGTGAGTGTTGGAATTGCAGATGTATACCACCACACCCAGTATGGCACTACTTTTTACAGAACTCACTTTGCCTTCACATCCTTGCTACTCAAAAACGAGATCCTTAAACCATAAATATAGGCATAATGGTGTCACTCAGGAGCTTATTAGTAATGCAGAATCTCAACTGTACTCCATACCTAATGGACCAAAATCTCTTGCTCACCCATGTGCAATTCAAATTTGAAAAACACTGAACTATAAGACTATACCATTCAGTTCTTTATCCCTGAGGCAAACTGAGCAATACATGCTACAAGGGTAAACCACTTTCAAGTGGCATCAGATTCTTGCTAAAACAGCACTTGAGGTTAAGAACATTAGTGTTCTTTCATCTAGAACTAGAAATAATGCAATAATATTCATTACTACCAATGCATTCTACATGTATAATCTCGTCTTTTACTAGAAATCACTGACAAAGTCAATTCTGCATGGATTTATTTCCATGCCTTAGTCCTTATTGGCACTGGGAAGCATTCACCTTCACTGCTGACTGTGGCAGCGTGCCCAGGTTCACCACTCAAATGCCTATAGTAATATAGGATCACCATCAACAAGATGATGGAATCTGGCCACTCTCCCAGCCTTTTGTCACAAAGTTCCTTGGATGGGTGAGGCACAGGAGGAGAATGGGTAACAATGGGATGCCCCAGCAGCCTGATATACAGAAACTGAGAAAATGAAGTCAAGTAGTGAAAAATCCCAGACAGGGTAGAAAACAATTTTGAACACTGTAAGCAAGCCAAGCACTGTTGGGAAAAATCCTGTCAGTGGGGAATGTACAAGAACCAAGAATTTGCTGGCAGAACATAAAAGTGACTGGCAGAGCTACAAACAGCTTCCAACTCTGCACATTGAGTTGGCTCCCACAACTGTATGTTGTGTAAAATCCACAAGTAAAGATCTGTTCATTCAGTCAATCAACTATTCATTGAGACCTGTGATGACAAGCAAATATGAATAAATGGTATATTGGGCCTTATGAAACTTTCAATCTAACATGAGACAAAAACAAGGAAATGAAATAAGTACATTGAAATGGGTGCTTTAACAAGGATATGTATTTTGACCATTGGGGTCAGGGGTATGTAATTAGAATGAGTGTTGTCTAATATGCTCTAACAGAGAAGATAGGGAAAGTTTATAAGATGAGTTGTTTGAGATGGGTATTGAAGGATGAGTAAGAGTTTGCCAAATAGAAATCAGTAGGAACCAATATTTGAGAATCTATATGTGGGTGTGTGGAGAAGAATATGCATATTGAGAAGTCATTTTGACAAGAGTGAGAAAAGTAGCTGAAAAAGAATTATCAATTCAAATTCACAAAGAGAGAGAGAGAGGAAGGAAGGAAGAAAGAAAGAAAGAAAGAAAGGAAGGAAGGAAGGAAGGAAGGAAGGAAGGAAGGAAGGAAGGAAGGAAGGAAGGAAGAAAGAAAAGAAAGAAAGAAAGAAAGAAAGAAAGAAAGAAAGAAAGAAAGAAAGAAAGAAAGACATTTCATGCTGACCCTCTTACAGTTAATACTCAAGTACGAAGGAGTTATAGCGTGATTTTAAACCAAAGAATAACCAAATAAGGTATAAAGTCAAAGACTGATAAAGATCATTTTATCTAGTTTACAATAGTTTTCAGTAGTGTAACCTCTGGGTCAAAAAACAACACCAATAATAACAACAGTGATCTTGGGGACTTTTTGTAGAGCTTGGAGAGTTAGGAACTCTAAAAGGAAAATGTGTAATCAAATACGCCTCTCAAAGGGATATTGGATATTCCTGTATTCAAGCAGCTACTTTGTGCTGGCCACTCAATAGCTTTTTTTGAAGCAATAATAAAGGAAGCCTTGTTCATCATTGCAGCTGGCTGGATCTGTCCAAGTTACAATTTCCCCAAACTCATTCACTACATTTTTTCCCTTTTTCTACATTAAGGGCTACTGCAATTTGCATTTTATATTAGATTCAAATTTTCAAATTAAAATATGTCACTTATTTAAAATATTCACATCTTTAATGTCAGTCTGAATTTAGTACTATATATTACATGTAACTTTTATTTCATTTTTTAGAGAACAGGGGAAATCATCATTTATAGAAGTTGCATTGAGTTAAGTATCTTTTTTCAAAATCACTTAGCATTTTCTCTACTTTCCTCATTAAAATGCATATCGAAATTATGTCCATTTTGGTCCTTTTAAATTTTGGTCTTAATACTTGCCAATAAAATAAAAGTAAAATGTTCTTCTCAAATGTTTTCTCTATCTGAAATCATTGAATCCTTTAATTGTCCTAGTATTTTGAATTTTGGAATGATACCTACAAAATAATACATGTAATTTGACTATCGGGATTCTTGCAGCAAAAGTTATCATTCAGCTGTAGCTACCCAATACTCACATTTTGATTGTAGCATTGTTGTAATAGAGTGGGTCATGAACATCAGTGACTACTCAGTCTCTGAAGAGTAAGGTAAGTGATAAAGATTAAGGTAAAGCATTTTCCCTAGTACAGAGAAGACAGAAAATGAGAATATAATGGCATCCATTTAAAATTCATTGTAATACAAATATCACACTAAGTGAAGTGGTGTTTCAAGAATAACCACATAAAATTCTTTATATTTTGAATGACTTATCATTTCCAGTGGCCTTGCCATACAGAAAATATTCTCTAAATGTAGTGGTGCTTTCAGTGCATATACAGCATCACTGGTTGTTACCAGCTCTGTATTTAAAAATATAAAAGAACTGGATTTCAAATCAAAAATGAAAATGCACTCAGTTGGCAGCTAAATTGCTCATATGACTACGCTTACCACAGCTATCCACAATTTAAAGCCAGTGAACCTAAGGGCATTGCATCTGTAGTCAAAGCAATGTACGCGAGGCCCTAAAGCTGTGTGCTATGATCTGCACAGTAGGAAAGCTAAGTCTTGACAGATTCATAACATCTCGTGTTTGTGTACATCCATAGGCAGCCAAGCCTATGTCATGCCCTCAGAAGAGAGACCTTCTCTACCAAGTAACAAAAGCAAATGTGGGGAGATCAAAACTCCTGCTAACAAATCTGTGCAAGAATCCAAAGCTCCTATGGAATTCTCTTTAGATATCATCAGTTTCTGTACAGATGGACGCTGCTATGTGCGTGGTGAACATAGCTATTAAATATTACTCACTCCCAGGATTTTAATAGAAGGATCACTATCTATATGAACATGGCTTTTTTCTCAACCCACTAGAGATTCTTGAACCCACCCACTAGTAACTATTCTGAAATAGTCAAACTCCATCCACCCACAACTAGCAGAGGAGTAACAAAGTGAAGTAGGCATGAGTGGCAATAAAAATGCTAGCAAAAAGTGGTTCTTTCTAAAATAGTTAGAAGAAAACTTACAACATTTAGATCTAAGGCAGCATCCAGGCAATTAGGTGAAGCATTCCATTCTCTTTGCCTCTCATTCTTCCATTTGGCACTTTTATTCTGGTGATAGAAAAATTAATGCACTTTAGCAGGAAGAGGTGAATACCTGAACATTTCAAGCTTGGAAAGAGGAAATGAAATTGTCTGATGAACACCCAATGGAATGAAAGAGCAAGAAAAATTAGGAATAGATTTATTCACAAACTGCCTTTACAGTGAATTCTAGAATCAACATCTTGAAAACATTTTAGTAAAAGATATGGATGGATATGTAAACTTCTACATCTACAATTGAAGAGTTGACGGACATGTTGTTATTACACACTGTACCCAATGCTTGGCATAAAGTAAAACGCGGGTAAATTCTCTGGAAAATACTAAACTGTATGAATGAAACAGAGGAATGAATGTATTTGATCAAAATAAGCAACTGATGACTGGGCAAGAGAAAAAACAAGAAGATCCATTCAATGTTCACAAATAATTCTCTTTGTTTTGACTGACAAAAAGCTTTTAGTTATAACTGTTTTTCAATGTTTTGCCAAATAAGGATGTAAAAAGAAAGTATTTATTTTCTATTCAATCCCACGTATTAAAGCTGTATTTGTGATATTCATATAACTTCATAACAATGATTTTTATTTTTTCTATTTATAAAATCTGGAAAGAGCAAAAAATAAAACTAATAAGTGTTTTGAACATTCTCAACTGTCACTGCCATCAACAAAGAAAATTGGTTATTTATTAAAATGCACTGTGAGAATACCATTTTTCAGCTATTTAATTCATAGAGACTTCTCAGTAATTTTATAAATCATCTTGTGGTGAAATCTTGAAAATGATCCATATTAGAGAATACTTACTACCAACTTTTTTAAATTATATGAAGTTTAATTGGTTTAAATTAATAAAACAATGGCAATTTATTTCCGTGACATGTGAGCTATCAATTATTGATGAATGTTTGTATAATTTTGTATTTACTTAGATCAACCTAATAAAATACAGACATGTATATCAACAGTAGATACCCTAATGGTATTAGAGAACTTTAATTTAGAAGAAAGTGTCCATGCTGCAATACTTCAGTTCTGGTGTATAGCACGTGGGATAACTGTCATGAGACACTTAACATCCACCACTTATTAAGTCATTAATTTTTCTGGTCCTGTCATAAAATCATTTAGCATTATCTTATTTAAAATCTTCTCAGGGGCCGGTGATTTGGCTCAGTGGTTCCGCTGCCTGCCTCACAAGCACAAGGACCCAAGTTCAATCACCAATACCAAAAAATAAATAAATAAATACATAATGAAATCTTCTCAAAAGTGTCATTAAGAAGAATAATTATTATCTCCATTTTCTAACTATGTATTCATTCCATAATATTTACAAAATTCACTTGCAAGACAAAAATGATGGAGATAAATTAGCTTGAGCATTCTGAGGAAATAATGCTTCAGACAATTAGAATAGCCATTGCAAAGGCCCTAAGTTAGTAATTTACCTATAATGTTGAAAGAATAGCAAGTTGCGGCTGGCAAGAAAAGAGAAAGTGAGAAAAGTCTGGATAAACAGGAGAAATGAAATCCAAGAAGAAACATAGGCCAACATCTGTAGGCCATTGTAAGAATTTTGTTTTCTTTCCAAGTCACATCATAAACCTTCACAAGAGAGGGCCATTATTTGATTGCCATTTTCAATGGACAACTAGCACTGCTGTATTGGGAGTAGACAGTTGAGGACAATGGCAGAGGGAGGGAGTCACTTCAGAGTTCACTCCAACAATTTAAGGAAGAGACAATGGCGCTCCCAACAAATAGGTTAGCAATAGATGTAGGGAACAGTTTTTAAATTCTGGATGAGTGCAAAAAAAATTCTGGATGAGTGCAGGGCCTGGTGACATTGGATTTGCCATGAGAGAGTATGAAAGAAATGATGGATGATTTTCTGTTTTATTTCTAAAAAAAGAATAAAATTAATATCAGTTAAGGTGGGAAAACTGAATCAAGTAGACATAGGAAGGAAAAGAGAATTTCTATTTAGGACAAAACATGACAAAGGTTAAGGGAGAGGTAATATCAAATGATCCATTCAATCCCTGTGTTTGGAGATCAGCAAAGAGACCAAGTTGAGAAAAGGAGGTGAAATCTCAGGGATGAGAGTGAACAGAAAAGACAACCAAGAGCAGAACTGGGGATATTGCAATATGAAAAGCAGAGAAGAAAAAGACCAGTAAAGCAGACTTTAAAAAGTAAGCAACGAAATATAAATTAAACCAAGTTACTGTGCTAGCTTAAGTGAAGGAAATGTACCAAGGAGAAATAATGTACAAATGGTGCTCATAGGTCAGGTAAAATGAGGGTGGAATATTGAGCATGGTGTAGAGTGACGATACCAAAGAATGTTCTCAGCTGTGATATTTTAACAAATGTCAAAAGAGAAAGAAAAGGATTAGCATGTAGCTATCATTTGCCAAGCATTGCACTCTATATGCTTTACAAATATTACTTCATTTCTCCCCAATAATTCTGAAGTTAGACATTCTTTTCTCATTGGATATCTGGAAACCAAAATTTTAACGCATTAATCAACCTGTCCAGGATGACACAGTCAGTAAACATCAACATAGAAGGTGAAATTCAAACTTGCCTCAATCCAGATGTAAATTCTAGTATACCATGATGTCTTCTGCAATTAGGAGAGGGTGTATTAATACTATAAAGGTGATAAAATTGAAATCAATTACTTTATAGCTTCTTCTTAATGGATACTTATGTATAGTCAAAAAACCTGTAGGGAATAAAAGCTAAGAAGCTGAAAACCATGAGGAGTTTTATTATCTTGTAATTTATCAAAATAGCATACCACTTAACTTCAGGCTCCAGTCTATTTCTGTTCAGCTAACTTTGAAAAAAAGTCAGATTAATGATCCTCAAACATTGTTTTCTGAATTATTGACATAATCATAGATTCTAAGCCCTCAATCTGACATTCCATAAAATTTTATCAACTGACCTGTCAATTAGCGTATATGTTGGGCCTGTGTATAACTCATGGAAGAATGGAAAAACATTTCTTTCACTATCAAATAGCGTTGCATTATAAACAAAGCCTTTAAAATACAAGTGTCATATATGTATCAAGATGGATTTGGTATATTGATTAATCAAACACCTTTTTTTCTCACTGTCTTGCTGAGACCAAGAGTCTTTTGGGAGATTTCTTACTCTCCTCCCTCTCTTCCTCTTTTCAACAATATTGAGCTGTACTCTGGGCAGGCACTCTCCTAGACATGAAAGAGAGAAGTGGAGAGTTGTGTAAGTGGAAGACATAAATATGTCACAGGCAAAATCCACATACATAACATCATTTCCAGGAACCACAGTCTTCAAGCTCATTATATTCAATGGTCAGTGTCCTGCTCTATACAGTTATTTTTAATAGAATATTTTAGTATCGAGCTTTTAATAATGTCACCTATGGAAACAATCACAATAATAGTAGTAAGGACTATGACACTGAAATTACAACTCAGTACCTTTTGTGCCTTACCCTAACTCATCCAACACTTCAATAGTCTCAAAGTAAAATTAGAGCTGGTCTCATAGAAATAAGTTTTCTAACAAACTGTCATAGATGTAAAACAATTTCCAGTCCTTTTCACATGCTCAAAAAGTCAACGTGTGTGTATGAAAATACACACTTCAGATGCTTCAATTCTTTTTTGGAGGGATAAGAACTTAATTATAATAGCTAAGCCTTGTTAACCTCTGTGCCTTAAACAATGATTCAGTGAAGTCAAACTCAATTCTCAATTTTCTTATTATTTAAAATGAGACTTTATCATATGTATTTTTATACTTATCTGATCATAAACAGCATTAACATTAAAACTAATAAGACTGGGCTACTGTAATTTCCAAAGCTAATAAAGATGGTGTTTAGAGCTACTAGAAGTTGAAACTTTGAATCCAGGAAATTGGTAGTCCAAGGAATATGCTTAGAGAATAACCCACACGCCGTTTTTTTATTGTAATCTTAAGAAATTAAAGTTAATTTTAACTTTGGAAACAGGAAATAATTCTTTTTTTAACTTGCAAATGTTGATGAGGTTTAAATAACTTCTGATGCACAGTCTGTTCCAATAGTCATCACTCATCTCCCGTACCACCTACATAAATCTTTTGAGTAGAAAAGTTAAAATAACACGACTTACCTACTATAAGGGATATAGCACTATGTGTCAGAACAAAACCCCATTATCTCAAGACTATGGGAACAAAAAGAAAAATGTACAGCACACAAGCAATGTGATGCAATCAGTAAAAACAGAAAAATGTTTAGCCTAGAAAATGAGGTGTATATATAATGAATAGAAAGCCTTATAGGCTTGATAATTTGTATTTTAAAACACAAAACATATAGATCCATAAATGCAAGGGAAGTTTTATAATGGAAAAACAGTATTGCCTTCATGGAATCACTGGTCTTTTAGAAATACCAGTTTTTTTTTTTTTATTTCAAAGGTGCCAAAACCACAGGAAAAAACGGACCAAATGTTTTAGAGCAAGTGTAGTGTTGGTAGCGAGGACTATCTTTACGGGGAAAGTTTTTTGAATATTTAGGAGCATATACCCTCTGTTGCTCTAGAAGTAAACTATTCCTTGTAGCTTGGTACCTGCATTAAATGTGGAATCAGTAGAAAATCTGGGATAATTTGTTGAACTGAAATGAGTTGACCTTCTAATCAAATGTCAGATCAGCTGAGGGGAAAAGCAGTCAGAGTGGTTGTTTATTAAAGTGACATTAGTTCATGGATAATTATTAGAGTTGTTATGGAAAATTGTCATCTATCTGAAAAGGCGTTTACTGAGCTCATTCCTATTCAAAGTTTCTATGATTTAATGAATGGTTGCCCATTTAGAAGCTACTTTTAAAAATTATTGGCAAAATTATGTTCAGTGTATTCAACCTGATTGAATGTCTTCACAGAAAAAAAATATAATGTATTCCTATCACTTCACTAGGGCTGAAGAAAGCATTTTAAAATCAAAGTA